AGACCAATGAGCAATCAGTATAAAGTCGTCATATTGATTTACATAAAATTCTCATTTGTCTAGCCGCCTTATGCTTATGTTTTGTTATGCATTTCACGTGCTCCGGACCTAGCACTCAAGGCCAAGCACTTAAGGCGGAAGCACATGAAACATAACAAAGCATAAGCATAGCATCAGGTTGCTAGACCAATAAGAATCTTACGTAAATCAATACATTTAAATTAGTAAGTCAAAGGATTTCCAGAAAATTCAACAATTTAGAAAATATAGGCTAATGGGAATCAGCGCGGTAATTGGTGCGCAATGGTCATTTAAGTGAATATCACTATTTGTTACGTGTACGTAGATTTATTGCCAAACGTTTCGGCCATACTTCTGGCCATCCTCAGTGGTGTAACAAAGTTGCAGTCAAATTGTCGTTAAAATCATAGCGCACAACTGCTAATTAAAAAAATTTATTTTAAAAATTTAATTTAAAAATTTACCTTAAAAAAATGTTTACTGAAATTATTTTCCAACATGAATAATTTACATGAAAAATGAATACTTAACAAATATTAAATAAACGTTTAAAAAACATTTATTTAATTTTACAATTAGTTCAAAAATCATTATTTTGAATAAATATTTAATGAAAAAAATATTAAATAAATATTTTCCGAAATGAGTTCAGAAAATGAATAATTAATGAAAAAAGAACATTTAAAAAACATTTTAAAAACATTAATTGTCTGCTAATTGAATTTCCAATTTTCTTTCATTTTCTACGTTTTCTCCGCTACAGGTGTAATTTTTATGGCCATTTTCAGATTATACGACTCAAAATACGTAAAAATATGTAAGATTATTTGTTTAAATAACAGTTTTCAAAAGCTCAATTTTCTCCTTTTAATGAGTTATGGTTCTCTTTCCTCTCTCCCTCGTGTCCTTTTTAAATTCGCACAACAAAATTGACATAGTAACAAACAAAATGGGCAAATGAGAGTAGAGGGCAGTTATTGATGCGCAAATTATCTCTTTAATAATAATGAGATCTACATACAAAATTTAAATACAAAGTTTCCAGACGTTTTGACTCTTCTTCGAATCATCATCAGTGTATCTTCAATGATTAAAATACTTCACGATCTTCATGCGGAAGTCAATTACAGATTGCATAAACCGAGTGTATGGTCCATATTGGTTACAAAGCTATGTGGTGTATGTAACGAATAATACTCTCAAAGAGTTGTAAAATGTAGCAAAATGAAATGTAAATTATTATCGATATACAGAAATTGTTAATAACAATTATAAATACATTAAAATAAATTACATTATTATTAAAAATGAACTAAATCACGTTCCTAAGTTTTCTTAGCTCGCAAATAACGACGTTATCACTTCAACCGTCGAACTTGAAAATTGACATATTTGCTGCATTGAAAGCTTTTGCTATAACTCGAATAGATGCAAAAATTTTCAGAGATAAATGCTTTGAACCGATATGGACGATTTCTTTCTTGCAACTACCTCGCGGAAAGATACATCGAAATCGCCCCTTCCGCTCGCCTTTCTTAGCGCGCTTTACAATTGCTTACGCACCTAGCATTATGGCGTTTAGTACCTCTATTCATCTTCATCGTAAGTATATCCGGTTAGCCGAGACAGTTTTATTTTGCAATTTTTTTGTAAGCTTACAACAGCTCATAGAGCGCTCTTCGTCTGCAATAGTTTGTGCGGCAAAATTAAGTGAATTCAAAACAATCGCTTTTTCCCGTTCCTCTCGTGGTTTGCTTTAAATGCAGATGCACCAAATAGGGCAACTCAAAATACGAAGTCTTTCTGACAAACTTGATATAAGTTATATTATCTGTTTGTTGCTAATAAATACTAGCCATTATAGACGCGAGCTTCGCACGCGCCAAGTTTTTTTGTATTTTTGATGCTTGGGTATTCAAATAAAAAGATAATGTTTGGATTCGAACAGAAATATTTTTGAATGAGAATACAAATATACATACAATTTAAATTATAATTTTTTCCGCATATTTTTGCAGATTAAGTAATATGTATATTTGATGCTTTTTTTTAAAGATGACTTTTTATATTAATTTATTCTATCGTCTTTTTGCTCACTTTATTGAAATTGCTTTTCATAAATAATTTTCATTTTTAAAATATCATCATGATACTAGGATTAAAAACTAATTACTTATATCATACGTTTATTTATTATGACATTCTAAAATGTTTTTATTTTGCGCGAAAATGTTTGTTTTATTAATAATAAAATATAGTTATTATAACCTTTTATTAATGATACTTGATCAAAAGATACGATGTTTTACCAAGATATAATTGCAACATATGTATGTATCCAGTAAGCAAGAAACATTAAAATAACATTTAGAAACGTTAATTCCATGTGTATTTTTCTAATATTTTAAAATAATATTATATACATGTTTTTAAAATGTTATGTAATAACATAGAATTTATCGAACATTGTTAAAATATTTTAGAAACATTGCTACAAATATTTTTTTTAAAATTACTTTATCATTTATTTCAGGTTAATATAATGGATCTACTATAGTTGAAAATTGTATATAATTGTTATCTTAAAGTAATGTTAGAATTATATGAAGTTTCTGTTATTGCAATGTTTTACAATATTGTTAAATGCAATATATATACAATAATTAAAAATTAATGTTTGTAATTTTTATTTTAAAGTAATCAATCATGTGCGATTCCGTAACTATTACTGTTGGCCTTTAATATTTGTTTAGGCGCGAGAACTCAAAAGTACTAAATTAAGAATAGTTATTGTAGAAGTACTTGCAATGACAACCCACAGTTTTTACACTATTCTAGAATATATAATTGAAAGAATAAGTCCTTTGTATAAAGTAATTATTAGTTCAGCGTTAGCGTATAAGTTTGTGACTCTAAGGACCACAGATTCGAATTTCATCAATGCGTTTTCACAAATTATAATATATACTTGTGTAATTGTAATTAATAAAATAAAACATATGCGAAATAGTAAACACAAATTAAACTCTAGTAAATAATAATATGTAATCGCATAAAATAAAAAAAAAGAAATTTCTTGTTTATGTTAAAATTTTGTACCGGAATCATTACTGATCTTTACCGTAATGGTTATGAAATAATACGATACTGATTCTATACCAGATCTGTAGCATAAATCTTATTGTAGACTCTATAATAGTTACTGCAGAATCTGTAATATTTAATGCAAAATCCGTACTTGATTGGTTACTGGAAAAAAGTTTACTGTAGCAGCATGTAATGATTAATGTAAGAAAGACTAAAAAGATTGAGCAAAAATGCAATAATCATTACTGTATTTTGGCTCTCAGTGATAATATTAATGTAACGTTATTATAAAATTAACAACATATTTTAATTTAATCATTTTATTAATATTATTTGAGAAACATTATAGCATCGTCAGAAAAATTTTAACATAACATTAATTGCAATGTTATGACATTCCCATTTCAATATTACCGAAATCTCCAAATTGCGGTCAAAGGTTATTGATAATGATATTAAATATACAACATTAAATACATATTTGAAAATATTACATGTTATTGAATATCGTTGTAATAACAAATTTATAATAATGATTTTTTGCTTATTGGATATTTGTTATACTTTCTAGTATTAATTATATTGTTCTTTTTATTCATTATAATATTATTTTTTATATTCACATAAATTTATATATGCATAATTTGAACTATCAATTCCAAGTCGCATTAACACCGATTTATGTTAAAAAAAAAACGCTCAATACTATCATACAATAGAAGTTGGCACGTTTTTTCTGAGACGATAATGATAACATTTTTTAATCCAAAATTTGACAGTTTGTACTTGATAACGGAATATCATCATTTATATGACATGCACAGAAAAAAATAGATACTTTGGAAATATAATTCAAACCCAAGTTATTGAGTAAGCTTGTTAAGAACTTGATTAGTTCAGTCGTTACGTCTGAGCCCCGCCTAAAAATAAACTGTTAGTATCACTACTACATTTCAGTAGTGTTTTTACTGCACTAGTAGTTTATTTTTATGCGTGATATCAGGAAATCCAAAAATTAACTAGGCAGTACACATTGAGACACGAGTCGCTTTGATGTTGTGCAACTTATATGGCACGAGATATTTAACCATTTCTCTTGATTATTTGAATAACATAAAATTGTTTTCCTGATCTTTTTTCTTGCGCTTTTTGGATAATTTTTTATTATAATTATCTACTATCCAAGTTTCACATCTATGGAAAGCTGATATTAAATTTTTTATAACTCCTAATCTAATCTCCATAATAGTCTTATAACTAAATCTTATGAAAATTCGATTATTTTTTAAGAATATTTAATTCCACAAAAACATTAGCAATAGGTTGAGCAGAATGCATGAAAGAATAAGACGGTGTGACAAAATTCCAGGTTTAGGCGGTGCTGAATTGCAAAAATCAGTCAAACAGGAGCAAACTTCTTGTCTACCACCAAAGCCACTTCGTTGATAACACTTGCCTTTATAATTTGACTCATCCCATCCGCATCCTCGAATAACTCGCGTATCAGGTGGTACTGTGTAAAAAAAATTAATTTCTTTTATATTAAATATTTATTCTATATGACAATATGACAATTAAACATAATTTGAAACATTTTTATACTATAAATATATATTTTGTGCAAACGTATAATTTTATAATGCTGTTTTTTTATAGATATTTTTTCTACATATTTTGATCAATTTCTTTAAATGGTATATAAATCGTAATATATTTTAATTAACACGTTACATGTCATACTGATCACCTAACGCTATAAAAATAAAAAATACGTTAAACGTAAAAATCACACATAAAAAATAAAATGCAATTCTACATATATAATTAATATTAAAATACTCTGTAAATAAATGCATTAAGTAAATATATATAAATTATATATAATTCAATTCTCATAATGCATAATTCAATTATATCATATAATTTCATCGAAATGTGGATACAATAGTGAAAATTTCATTCCAGCATCGCCAGAGAAATATGCGAAGGTCCAGTATTCAACGTGTTAATGTAAGTATATTTAAAAAATCATTATTTAATAGTGTAAATATAATATTGATACATACAACCATTGACACTAAATTCGATGACTTGTGTAATTTTTCGGCACATTGTATACTTTGAACCATCTTTAAGTTCCGCACAATCCTTTTTCATTGTGTCTGGAGGAACAAGTTCGGCGCATTGGCTATTATTGCGGCTGTTGCATTGATAGCATTTCATAGCATTGACACCTGTAAAATATAATTCATTTATTTGTATTATAAATGTTTTATTTCTTTTTTTTTTTGTACGTGCATACATACATATGCACACATAGTGCATATGAATGTAGATTTACAATGTTCATTGAACGGATTTTATATTTCATTGTAACCCAAAAATATTATATATTTGTATTAATGTTTGCAATCAAAATTATTAATTTTAGTTTGTAATTATTAAATAAATACTTTCAAAATATTTTTCACATACGTAAATTCATGTATATCTATATAAAACAATTTTTGATTGTATTATAAAGATAATGGAAAATTAAATTTTTTCTATTTTACATGAATAAAATAAGAAATTAGATTTAATACTGAAAGAGATCACAAACTAAGAATTTAAATAATAGTGGGTGTACAATTTTTTTATTTAGTTATGACGTTAGTTCCTTATAAAATTACTCTCAATAGTCTTCATGCAATAACAAGGTTAAAGATCATTACGGAAAGAAGATAACACCGAGCACATATTGACACTAATTTTATATAATCTTGGTTTTCTATATGTCAGATATTATACCGTAATCTTCAGTTTATTTCTAGTAATTCTAATAATTTAAAATTAGATTTGTATAATATGTGACTGCGTCTTAAAAATATTACAAAAATAGTATAGGAAAAAATAATTTCTTCAGTCTTCACGGTTAATTATAAAATAATACTTATTACAAAGATAGTATGTTGTGTTTTTAATTACATTTAATTTTTGTATTTAATTAAGAATAATTATGTGCTTTAATTTTGTATTTATTTATGAATAATTTAATTATTAAATAATTTTTAATTATTAATATTATACGAAAAAAAGAGGAAAGAGAGAGGGAGATATAAATATAATATAAATATTGCATGGTCTCACACAAAAATAATCACTATAAGAAGAAACAATTACTAGAGAATAATGAGAATTGTATGCGAACAATTAATAATATTGATTGTACGTAAGTGCGGTAAAATCCATTAAAGATGACCGCTATATGCTTTGAGTCGAAACGTTCGAGTGTATTTCCTAAAGAAGAGTGTTGACAATTTTATACATAACACAATTATTGTTTATCGAGTTTAAAACAAATTTTAAATAATGTACAATAGAAGAGCTAACGAGCCAAGCTGGATGTACATCTTATTTTTATTCCTAGCCTTTTTTATTTTTAATTTATTTAAAAATTTAGAAACAATTATATTATTTTTATTAGTTAATTAATTGAAATTGTGTACATACGTAGTTTATTAAATTCTCAATTCTGTTACCTTTAAAAAATCAAGTGCAGTTACATTACTATAAAACCTTAAAAAGCTATTTATGCAGTAAGGCTGTCTATATACGCACTTAGATTTTATTTTGATTCCAAGCTTAAGCATACCGTTATAAATAAAAAAAGTTGCAATAACAAAATATTAAATAATTTTACAACGCAACGTAAAAAATTTCCATTTTTATTGTTTGTGATTTTATAAACGTTTTTTCTTGAGTAAATATTTCTACGTTAAATTGCAATTAATCAATAAATTTAAAAATTTCGTAAAAACCATTTTAATATTGTCTGTTATTAAATACATTATATTGTGCTTATGAGTATAATTAAAATTAATTAAAATTTGTTTAAATATTTTAACTTTTTCAAAACATTTTTTAAAGAAAAAAAAATTTTATTATTGTCATTCAAATTTATGATAAAAAAAGAAACAAGCCATCGTTATTAATAATGTACATCCAGCTTGGTTTGTTAGCCCTTCTATTGTATATTATTAGTATTTGTATTAAATATAATAATAAATAAACAATAATTATGTCACGTATAAAATTGTCAACAATTTTCTTTAGAAAATACAATCAAAAATTTCACTTCCGACGATAATCTTAATTTTAAATTCTGGACAATTACAGCTTCCAAGAAATGTTACGTGTTAACCGTTTAAGATTAATATAATTAATTTTTGAAATTTTATATTAGCGACTGAAGAAGAGTTAGTAAAGTCGAAACGTCCCGCTTTAATTTCATCGAATAAGATTATATAATTACATTACAACATCTGTGATTGCTCGTTTTATATTTTGACCTTCATATTCTCTAGTTACTATTTTAAGATTTTATACACATATTTTAGTCAAAAGGATGTTTTACCACATGAACTTAAAATTAAGCAAAAATATATATGTTATATTTCGTTATCTATTTAATAATATTTTTTAAGGAGAAATAAATTGGCGCATTGATACATAGATAATATCTCTTATCGATAATATCTTGGAATAAGTGGTAATACATCTTAAATCAGACTAGAAAACAAAATTGGAAACTATATTTTTAAACACATTTCTCTATCACTTACCGTTGTAGCACAAAAACAAAATAATACTACATAGGATGACAAATCTTAATCTAAAGATTTTCTTCATCTTTTTTTTCTTCTTCCTTTAGACGATTGACAAATAAATGTTCACTGAAAAGCTTCACTATATGACGAAATCCTGCGGTGCTCACAAGAAAGATATAAAACTAAAAAATACAAATATGACAGAATAGAAAAATAATTAAAGAGATTGAAAAACAGGAAATCATGAAAAAATAAAAGAAAAGCGGAAATAAGAAAATAAAAAGAGAAAAACAGAATCACGAATTGAAAAAGATCTAAAAGTATTATTTGATTTAGAGAACTGAGAAAGCACTATTAATGTACAGCGCTAACGTGGCGCAAGCCCACTAACTTTAACATCGGTGTCATACAGTGCCACTGAGCTGAACGAACAAACGATTATGTCTGAGGAAGGGAGAACAAGGCGAATATATTGAAGTGACTGGTGGGAGAAAAACATGGCGAGTAAACGACTGATCTACGAATAACACCAAGATCGATGAATCTTTTATGATTGACAAATCTTTTTGGATGCATACTTAGATTCATACTTATTACTTCTATGATATATATTTCGTAACATTTCATAATCAATATTTCTTATAATAATTATACGTTGAAAATAATTGCTATGAATATATTATAAAAATAATTAAAAAATTATTTTACGATAATAATTATATATAATAATATTACAAAATTATACTTTTATAATTATTATGTACATATATTTTTAACAATTATAAAAGGATAATTATTTGCTGTTTAAGGAAATAATTACATACAATTAATATTTGAAAATGTACATTATATATGTAAATTATATCTTTATACAACTTTGGTATATAAGTATAAAGTATCTTATATATTACATATTTTCTTGAAAAAAATGATAATAAAACACAAAAAGGATTATTAAAATATTAGAATTATAAAAATAATATTATTTTTCAATGAAACTTTTTTAATTAGAGTATTTTTATGTCAATTATGGAGGTACTTTATGTTTATAACTAAGATTGTACTATTATATATGTACATATATTTATACATACACACCTACATACGCATGTATTTTATATACAGAGTGTCCAAAAAGTCCCGGGACACTTGAATATCATGGAAAATATAAGTTTTACAGAAAAGTGTTTCAGACGAAAGTAAGTAAAAGTTGTAAGATTCGTAAAGATCTATTTATTGATCTTATTGGTTTGACTTTGGATGACGTCGCCAAAGACAGGGTAAGATCACTTTAAATTTTTTAAATAGAACCCCCCATTTTTTATTGCATATTCTTGTAGCTCTCAAGAACTTTCCAAAACACTATAGTAAAATATTTTTCTGTTAATCATTTCTCGAATTATAAGACTTGAAAGTTACAGTACCACCGGTATTAGCATTATTAAAAGATTTCAACCATTGCTCGGACACTTTGGATAATGCTAATGCCGGTAGTACTGTAACTTTCAAGCCTTATAATTCGAGAAGTGATTAATGAAAAAATATTTTACTGCAGTGTTTTGGAAAACTCTCAAGATAAGCTACAAGAATATGCAATAAAAAATGAGGGATTCTATTTAAGAAATTCAAAGTGATCTTACCTTGTTTTTGGCGACGCCACTCAAGGTCAAATCAATAAGATCAATAAATAGATCTTTTCGAACCCTACAACTTTTATCTGAAACACTTTTTTAAAACTTATATTTTCTATGATATTCAGGTGTTCCAGGACTTTTTGGACACTCTGTACATGTACATATACAATCACGAAACTAATTATCCGGACAATGCGTTAATATATTGATGATTTCTTTAAACTTTTGTTCAGATATGGTACTATTTATGTTAGACTTTGTATTTATATGTATTTAGACAAGTAATTGTGAAATTAGCAGTGCTATAATACGTGCATAGAATCACAATTTTTAACACTTGGAATTTTGTTGTTGTTCGGACAATTAATTTCTTGATCATGCAATTGTATGTCATGTGCATGTGTATATATTTAATTTATATATCGACTAGTACATAACAGACGCGCGCTTCGCGAGCGCTGCGTATTGAGTCCCATACATCTACCAATAACATTTATATCAATTTACATTTTAATTAAACAAATTTTAACAATTTTTGATAAAAAATAAATTT